CATCTTTGTTGGTGGTTAATTTGCATATCGTGCTGATTAGCCCATGGGAGGCATAGCGAAGGTATGGTCAATTACCATGTTTGTCTATTATTAGATAGGATTAGAGTTATTTTAATTCAGAACAATTGGGATTATAAGAAATAAAAATAGAGTAGAGGATCCTTCATTTTACCTCAAGACTCCTGGTGGGGCTTCGGCAGAATCTCATTTTATATTATATGAGAGGCCCAGTGCACGAAAATCCGTGAAATCAAAGGGGTCCCTCAGCCCGGCCTGTGCCCTCTCACAGTCCGGAGCCATCAGGGGATGTCCAACATTCAGGAAGTGGGCTTAAGCCGCAGTCTGGCCTCCCTCTGCAGGAGGTGACCAGCGGGCCGATCTGTGGACAGCGAGTGGCCAGCCCCGCCCCGAATCACCCCGCCGCGGTCACCGGTGGCCTCCGTCTGTGGGAGGCAACCCTGGAAGGCCAATCTGGGGATGTCGAGTGGCCGGCCCCTCCCTGAATCACCCTGCTGCTATGCTGCCACCCACGACCTCCCTCTGAGGGAGGTGACTGGGCGGGCGATCAGGGGATGGGATTTGTTTTTATTCCCTAAAGTTTCTGTGGGGACAACAATAACAACAAAGATGATGACATTAGCATTGTTTGAAAGACTTTTTTCTTTATAACATGCAAACAGAAAAGTGCCAAATTTATAACTGTATAGCCCACTGAATTTTCACAAAGTGAAATACTCATGTAACCAACATCCATATCCTGTTTAATAATAGACAAACATGGTAATTAACCATACCTCCACTACGCTTCCCATTGGCTAATCAGCAGGATATGCAAATTACCTGCCAACAAAGATGGTGGCTGGCAGCCACACAGCTGAAGCGAACATGAGGCTTGCTTGCTCCAGTGATGGAGGAAGCCAAGGTTCCCCGCCTGCCGCGGCCCAGCTCTGAGCTCCGGAAGCAACATTGTTTCAATTATAGAAGCTAAACAAACCCCAGATACCTGCTTTCAGCCAGCAACGGCCTCAGAGCTGGAGCCGGCTCTCAGCTCCAGTGACAGCTATGGAAGGTAAATAAA